ATTAATATATAAATATTCCGACGAAGTCGGTTAAAAACAAATACACCAGCAAGCTTTCAGCGTCAAATGATTTCAGGGTAAAATTGTCAAAGCTCCCAATAAACTTAAATAACATAATAAAAACATCAAAAAAATTTCAGTCCGAACATTAAAGCTAAAGGAGCATAAAGTTTGCATTGTGTTTTCTTGTTTTCGGAGACATTTGAAGAGTAGGGGTGCCGCGAAATTTTTTTAGCACAACAGGTTTACTGAGGTGAAAAAAGTTTGGGAACCCCTGCTGTAAACACATAAAGGGCTTGTGGTGTGTGGCAATATTTGCAGTTGTGTACCACAACCATATCGTGCACGGCTTGTAATTTTTTAATGAGAGCGTCAAGGCAGGCGAAACGGTGTTGGCATTTTTTGTACAATTGTATTTCTGTGATACAATTTCTTTCACAATATACTTTACTACTATGCAAATCTTTTTAGTACAATTTTATGAATACTAAAAATATATAGCTCTAAAAATTCACAGCGGGAAATATTTGTTATTCTCTTTTTTTTTACTTTTTCGAATTCTCATTTGTATGTTTGGAAAAAGTGTTAAAAATGTCTTGAACGAACTATTATAACATACTACAAGGTGTGCTATCAGCTGCCCATTCAATGTCAAATGTCGAGATGAGCTTTAATTTGTTCACCCGATGCCACTGTCCAATTCCTATGTGGAATTGCTCAGTGATTCCCAAAATCAAGTCAATTTTTTTCTCTATGGATAACTTTCTGAGATATTTGCAATTTACCATTATTCAGCTTATAAAATAGTGATTCTACTTAATCACGTATGTATATCTTTCGAACCAATTGAACAATCGTAATAAGAAGTAAAGATAATCAAATTCTCCATAAACCGTAATACATCACTCTTCGACAGGCCTGATGGTTTCTGAGAAACTAATTAATAGTCCCACATTTTTTTTTTTGTGACGAAAAAATGCAAAAAATTAACATTTTAACAGGGGAATAATAAAAAATAACGATTTTTCTGTATTTTTTTTATTTTGTATGAAAGCCTGTTCCTTTACAAAAAAATGAAGCTACCAATGAAGAAAATCGATGGATAAATAAAGGAATGAGTGGTGAAATGAATAAGCAGAAAATAGTTACTCAGGTGTACACGGCGTATGAGTAGCATTATTTCCTGCTCATTTTTCATACAAAAATCTGTGTGCCTTTTTTATTTGACCACTCATTCCTTCTTTATTTATCCATCGATTTTGTCCATTGGTAGCTTGATTTGTTTGTAACAGAAAAAAATTTACACAGAATCTTATTTGTTATTTTTCCATACTAAAGTTTGAATTTGTTAATTTTAACATCGAAAAACAAAAAATCTGGAATAATTAACTAATTTATCAGAACTATGAAGCCTATCGAATGGGCTACGAAACTCAATACTCAAAATATTTAAAAAAACTCGAAACTTTTACGAAAGTTTGTTGATTTTTGTTTAATGTTGCACAAAAATTGGACCTTGGATTTATACGGTTTTTGTTAAAGTATAAACTGTACTTTTATGTACAAATAATTAAAATTAAATAATATCAAGATAAATGGTAAAATATTGTCGATATGTGGGTATCGTAAAGATTTGATAAGCACTATAACTAGGAATATTGCCATAATATTAATATTACTAATGAAATGCTATGTCCAGTTTTAGTACCGAATCCAAAGAAGAACGACTTAAAAATGCTTTTGGTTAGGAAGAGTACCTGAAAATGTGTGCACACATATATATATTAATCAATTTGTAGTGTAAATGTATGTACATGAACAAGTAAACTTTCTCGTGCCATCAAATCATTGGTCTTGAGGGGAATGTATGTGCACGTACTAAGAAAATATATGAGCAAATTAAAAAGTCGATACAATTTACAGTCAAAAATACAGTTTTTGTATAGATTTCGTATTGAAGGAACAATTTCATTTCCCTACACAGACGAAATGTAAGCACACCTGTCAAATTAGAAAATAGAAATTGCTCGGCTACAACTTGGCGTGCAATCCAACGACAGCCTGGGCTCATGATCCAATTATTAAAGATCACGACACTGTGACGTCATCCGTACCAATCGAAATTTCTTTACATTTTGATAAACGTGCGAGTTGAATACGGAGCGAAAATATTGTTGGCGACAGTGAAATTTAAGTGTACCATAAGTGGGATATCTTTGAAATATGAAGTGCGCAGTTGCTAATTGCAATAATTCCCAAAAAACCCAAAGGGATAGGGTTTCACAGCTTTCCAAAAGACGAACTTCTTTTGAGGAAATGGGTGCATTTTTGCCGGCAAAGTGTAAACCCAAAAGTGGCAAGAATTTGCAGCGAGCATTTTCTACCTGAGGATTTTGAAAGGAGCCTCCAAGTTGAAATGGGTAAGAAATTGATTGGTCTTTGCATATAAGTCCATTAAGTAGTAGTAGTAGTTGTCGGAAAAACTAGCGAAATATCGAAATAAAACACTTATTTTAACTAGCCTTCGTGGCTATATGAATGTTTGTTTCACTAGCTCGTTGAGCGATAAGTATTGCCTTACAATATATGTATGACGCTTAGAATTTAGTTGATTTAAGTTTCACGAATGACAAAATGCGCATGCAAGTGCGCGTTACCAAATTGGTGCCTTTTCCACGCTCAACTGAAATTTTGAATTCATTTTCTTCGGTTGAACGCAGAGTCGTATTTTCGAGTTATGTATGTATCTATGCTTCGAACTTATTTTCGAGTACTTAGGGTCTAATTAACATTCCACGCCTCGGTGAATCCTCGTTGGGATTCACAAAATCCAAAGCGGCTAGCTTTGAGGATGGACGTCTGATGACACCGTTGCTTGTACGTACGTAGGCGCTTCTAACTTGCCCATCTTTGGCGGAGTTTACTTCAACTATGCGGCGTCACACACAATGACCAGTTGGCCTGCCTTTAAGGGACTCACTTCCTCTTTCCATTTTGGACGCACTAACAATTGTGGCAAATATTAGAGGTATATCAGTTAAAGGGCGACTATTGATGATGTTTTCAGCCTCTATCAAAACACTGTGGAAAGTTTCCACACGTGGCGCTTCATCTTTTAAGACTCGATGTAATATTCGTTTTACACATTGTACGAGGCGTTTCCAACATCCGCCTGCGGATGGATTAGCTGGACAATTGAAATTCCACTCGATACCATCTTTAGAAACTTCTCTTTGAATTTGATCGAAGTCGAAAAGTCGTTGGCCTTCCTTCAATTCTCGATGAGCTCCGATAAAATTAGTGCCATTATCACTTCTGATGCGAACGGGACGACGATTGACGAAGTTTCTTAAACAAATTATAAACGCATCTGTGGACAAGTCTACGGCCACCTCAAAGTAAAAACAGAATCAAATCGCTCAGAGAAATTCTTCGGAAGAAAGTTCGCTGCCAAAATTAAAACACACTGCAGTATATGAGATTTCCCACAACCAAAGCGACGACGAAGTTCGTCTGTCGAAATTCGGCAAGAATAGATTTATTTTTAATTTTGCCGCTGCCGCCGATCATAAAGTCAGCTCTCAGTGGAAAACTAGCTTTGTTTTCTCGTTTTTCTAGCAGATAATCATCAGCAATAATCAGAATGGCAAAATTTGGTGATTCATCTTTTCGGTTTTGTATTTTTATATTTCTTGTTTGTCATTAAATTGATACGAATTTCGTATCTGTTCTGTTTTACTGGGCAAAATGTTGCGGCGAACATCACCCAGCGGCATCGCTCCGATCGACGAAATTTGCACAGCGATTTGGTTCTGTTTATACTTTCAAGATGAATGGCTCTAGTCGTCAAACATGTGAATAATGCTATCCATCTTTTTTCTCGGCTGCGAAGACCCACGGCTACGAAGAACGGGCCACAATAATCAACGCCAGTGTATGAGAATGAGCGCACGTATGGTGTCAAACGGTCAGGTGGTAGTTGACCCATAAGCGGTACAGCTGGCTTGGAGTTTTGGCGGATGCATACTGGACTTTTCTTCTTCACAGAGCTCACACAGAGAATGAGCTCGTGGTATCCTTTACCGCTGTCGCATTTCATTAATAGTAAGGCGGCGGGTTTGATGATGAGCTTTCCAGTGAAAGTGATCCATGATCAGTACAGCTAAATGATGGTCACGTGGAATGATTATCGGGCGACGCACTGAATCTGGTAGGCAATAAGCGGCATCGATTCGACCATTTATGCGGAGGACTCCGAATGCATCTAGCTTTGGTGTTAGCTGAAACAAATGGTGGGTTTTCGGCAGGCAGCTATTATCTCGTAGCAAATCGATTTCAGCTTTGTAGACTTCATATTATACTTGACGCCATAAGTAATTCTCGGCGAGCTTCAATTCATCAGACATAAGCTCACCTTGACGACGCATTTTGGATTTAACATTGTTAATGAAGCGTAAAATCCATGCAAATATTCGAAGCTGCTTCGTAAATTTCGAATATTTGGAAATGTTCATGACATCGACGTGTTTTACTACAAGTACAGCTATCTTTTTATATTCTTCTTCATCCAGAAACTCGGAGTGTAAGTGTTGCGGTTCTGCGGGCCATGAATCTTCATGCCGTGGAGAAAATATGGACCTATTATCCATCGCGAATTTGACGAACATGCTGGTATTAAATTTACTTTTGTGGCTTCATCTGCCACATTCGCTGCTGACGGAACCCAACGCCACTGGCTCGGTGCTTGAAAGGATCTCTGAGATCCGACTGGCGACGAATTGCGTTCCTCTTCGTGGAACGGATACAATGCAAGACCATTTTGGAATCACACCAAAACGTCACATGGTGCACACTTCGGTCTAGACACTGCTCCACCGAAGTTCAAAGGCGACTGCCCAAAACTGCAGCTTGCAGTTCCAAGCCTGGTATAGTTGTTGATCGCTTAGGGGCACATCTGGACTTAGCTACCAGGAAGGCGAGGGAAATATTGGTTGCTTTCTTTATACGCACGTAAGCCACTGCGGCATATGCGGCTTCGCACGCGTCAACAAAGATATGTAGTTGCAACTCATCTGCGATAGAAAAACTTGGAGAAAAACACCTTGGTACGGAAAAATTTCTAACATAATAAAATGCTTGCCACCATACAAGCCACTGTGACCGCAGATTTGTAAGTAAAGGATCATCCCAGTCTACTTGCTGTTTCCAGGTTTCTTGCAATATTAACTTGACTGCAACGGTGACATTGGCAAGCAGACCGAACGGATCATATATGGCCATGGGAAGCCCCAGCAATTCCCGCTTAGTTGGTAAACGCTTACAGTCTAATACGTCACGTGGGATTTTGTGAAATTTAAAATGGAATTCCAAAACATCATCACTGAAATTCCAGTACATCCCTAACACTTTGTCGGTCTTCGGCTGACGTTCCATGTTGATAATGTCAGGTGTCCTAGGTGTCCCACGATTCAACTGCCTCTGTAGCTCTTTGCAGTTAGAGACGAAATTTCGCAAATGAAATCCCGCAGCCGCATTTATAGTGATGGCTTCGTTGACCACTTCACTGGCTTCTTGGCTGCTATCGTAACTGGCTACGAGATCATCCACGTAGGTGTTTTCAATTACGGCTTTAACACCTCGCGGCATTTCTTCTTTGAATCGGTTGGCATTTAAATTCTTAATGTATTCGGCGCAACAAGGAGAGCAGGCTGCACCAAAAATCATGGATGTCATCACATAAACCTGGATTGGTTGTAACTGGTCTCCATGCCTCCACAAAAAACGTTGTGACTGTCTGTCTTCTGCTCGTATCTTTACTTGAGAGAACATCTCTTGTATGTCCCCGGCGATTGCAATTGGACGCTGGCGAAACTTTACCATAATCACCATCAATGATTGTGCACGTTCTGGGCCCTTCATCAGTACATAATTCAAGGAAATATTTGAGACGGATGCCGCTGCGTCGAATACTATGCGCAGCTTTGCAGGCTTATGAGGGTTGATCACCCCGAAATGTGGCAAATACCATGATGACGGACCTTGTTGTGATGACTCTTCAGCGGAAAGCAATTGTGCATAACCCCTTTCAACATACTTATTTATTTCTGCGATATAGTTTTTTGCATAAACTGGATCTTTGGCTATTTTGTTTTCGACGTTGATTAGTCTTCTTTTTGCCATTTCGTAGCTTTGAGGTAGCTCGACGTTATCTTCACACCATAACAAACCCACTTCGTAACGATGGCCAATATTTTTGGTAGTCTTCTCTAGTATCTTTCTTGCTCTTAGATCTTCCACTGACTCAAGGGGAATATTTGGCTTCTGGACGGCGAAACTGTCTAGGCTAAAGTACTCTTGCACGAGCTGGTGTAACTGTTGTGTTGTAAATTGATTTCGTATGTGAAGAATGTTAGATGTAGAACAACCTCTGGTGTGCGTAAGGCCATATGCAACCCAACCTAACTTGGTAATGACGGCGATAGGTTCATTTGGACCAGAGCAAACCATTTCTTTGGTAGCACTCAATTGGCTGTTGTCTAGTCCAATCAATAACAACGGTTTAATTGCTGAATAACTGGCTATAGGTAAATTGCTTAAGTATCTATAATTATTTCGGTAAAAAGATTGCGTTGGTAAATCTAAATGTTTTATCATATGTACGTTCTTCAACTGGAATGACGTCTTATGATCAACTCAACTTATTTGTAAATTCATTATACGGGATTGTTCACTAATTTGTTTTGTATTTTACCACTGTAAGGTGAGTGAAGTACTACGGCCTTTGATGCCGAGCTCGTCCGCAATACTTTCCTCGAGGAGTGTTATCGATGATCCTTCGTCGGGCATAGCATAAACTGTAATGCTTGTTCGAGGTCCACTACTACGGGCAATACTACGGGCAATATTTTAAACAAACACTCTCTCTGGCTGTCGCGGCACTTCAGCAAATGTTCATTGTTGGTACTAGGTGGCGATGTAGCTGAATGTGTGGTTGACGGTGGCTTAGTCGAATTTGGTGGTTGATGCAGAAGGGTACGGTGCATGCGCTTGCACTCATCAAGTCCACATTCACGCCTAGATTGACATTCACTTAAACCATGACCTCGTTGAAGGCAACCCAAACACACACGATTTGCCTTCACGAGTTTCCATCTATTATGCACACTAAGTGCCTTAAATTCGGGACATACCATTAACCTGTGACTTTGTTTACACTTAACGCAACATAATTGTTGTTGTCTAGGGTCAGACTCATTGCTTTGCAAAACTCTTCTTGCTGCATTGTAAATGGACGACCTGACGATGGCTGCAGGACTGAACGCACAGGGTTTGTTGACGATGGTGGCTGACTGGCACGCTGCAACGACGAAACTACCGCCGGCATAATGCTAACAACCTTGGCGAGATCACTCAACCAATTTGAAAATGTCTCTATAGTTGGATGCCCTAACATCCCGCTGCGCATCGACTCCATTCAAATTGCTTTGAAGCCGGTAACTTTAGGACTAATTCCTCTAACAACATCGGGTTGAGCAAATGATGCTCACAATTCGCCGATTTAAAAAAGGCGACAATGTTCCGTACTAGATTTAAAAACCAACAATTTTATCAACACGACTCTCGGCTATTAGAGGAAATTATTGAATCTTGTGCATTTGCACTCGAACTAGCAATTCTGGGCGCCCAAAATTAAATTGCAATTCCTCAATCACTTGTGACACATTGTCTGGAAAAACTAGTCATGATGAAACGACACGTTTTGCGTTTCCTTGCAACGCTTTATGTAATCTCATTAAATTTTGGCGATTGTTGTATCCAAACTCTCTCATTGTGTCATAGTAGCATGCTCTAAACAGAGGCCAATCTTCCGGGTTACCATCGAAATTGGGCAATGGATATAACTTCACAACTGAATTGTCGACGTATGAAATTATACCTCTCTGTAAGTTATTGGGCGTCTGTGGCAAAAACTGTGGTGGTGATGTCGTACTCTGCTGATGAAATTGCGTAGCTGAAGCTGGATACTGTGCAACTCCCTGTGAGTCATTGGGCGGCTGTGGCAAAAACTATGGTGGTGATGTCGTACTCTGCTGATGAAATAGCGTAGCTGAAGCTGGATACCGTGCAACTCCCTGTGAGTTATTGGGCGGCTGTGGCAAAAACTGTGGCGATGACGTCGTACTCTGCTGATAAAACTGCGTAGATGTAGCTGGATACCGTGCAACTCCCTGTGAGTTATTGGGCGGCTGTGGCAAAAACAGTGGTGGTGATGTCGTACTCTGCTGATGAAATTGCGTAGATGTAGCTGGATACTGTGCAACTCGATGCGGCTGTGATTCATTAAAATCTCCCATGACATATCGATTTGAAACTGATGTCGGTGTTGTGTAGTTTTCGGCTGCATATGCATTTGACTGTGTAACTGCCGTACCAGTGGCAGTTGTGACGGCGACGTCGTTTCCTTGAACAGGCTCATTTAACGCACAAACAGTGTTGTTGTTATTGCACATTCTCAGTTCACTACGAATTTGCTTATTATCACGACTCAGCTCACTGACTGCTTCTTTCAACAAATGTATGCTTGTCAATAACGCTGACATTTGCTCATTCGAAGAATCTTCTGTCTTTGCTCCTTTGCTTATGTGTTTCCTTCTACCAGTGTTGTGTTTATGCTGTCCGAATTATCGGAAGTTTTTTCATCTATATCTTCTACATTATTTCGTTCCGCATTCTCTGCATTATCTACGTTCTTCTTTGCCTGATTTCTAGTGTGCATTTCGGCAGTTATCTTCAAAAAGGCTAAACGACCACTATTTCTGACTGCTGCTACTGAAGCAGCGAATGGTGACACTGGCTGACAAACTATCTGCGCTACTGAAGCAGTGACGTTGCCTACGATTCTGATGAAACGATGCTACTTAAAGCGACGAGTCTTGTGACTCTTGCTGCTACTGAAGCAGCTACGTTGCCTACGATTCTGATGAAACGATGCTATTTAAAGCGACGAGTCTTGTGGCCAGTGATGCCAGACATTCTCTGTTAAATATCCCACGGAAATGGGGAAAAAATCCCTCAATTACCCACATCTTGAAAATTTATCCCACAAAATTCCCAACGAATTTAAACATATACATGTTTCAGTAGTAAAGAAGTAAAATTCATATAAAATAATAATAATAGTTTGGCGCTTACACATATGTGCTTTTCCTCCAATTTGTGGCGGTCCCCTTGATGTTGTCACACAAAGGGGAGGGACCTACAGTTTTACGCCGACTCCGAATGGCGAGTGTATTTTTATGAGAAGCTGTTTTTCATGGCAGGAATACACTCGGAGGTTTGCCATTGCCTGTCGAGGGCCGACCGCTGTTAAGAAAAAACCCCTTTTTCTGCATTTTTTCCCTTTCATTTTTTTGCTCACTCACTAAGGGCCTAAAAGAATTTTTTGGTGACTTTAAAATTGAAGCACATTCATGTGCTATTTAACATTTCATCAGATAATTTGTTCCGCTTTTTACATGAAACACCAGTTACAACTGAAAAGATTCTTTCTTACTCAGCGCTTGAATTGGTTAACGTAAGAAAATTTTCGAAATTGTCCTTGTACTTTTTAACAATTATATACCATTTCACTCCACATCACATCTTCAGAACGATTAATTACGTAAGAATGTCGAATATTCTTGAATTTTGATCAATTATGCAACAATAACTGCGTCAAAAGAAAATCCGTTATTTATATGAAGTGTCCCTTTTTTCCCTTTTAATAATTTTTGATGCAAAATATCCCTCAAATAGGGAAATTAACCACAATCTGGCATCACTGCTTGTGACTCTTGCTGCTACTGAAGCAGCGAAGTTGCCTACGATTGTGGCGAATGGTGAAATTGGCTGATGAAACCGACTGCGCTGCTGATGCGACGACTGTTGTGATTGTTGCTGCTACTGAAGCAGTGACGCTGACTACGATTCTGATGAAAAGATGCTACTGAAGCGACGAGTGTTATTCCAAAAGAACAGCGTCAAGCAAAAGTATGGCTGCCTTTCTTTCGTTTATTTCAATAAAATAAATTAAACCGGCACGGCAATGCTTATACGAGAAAGCAATTTGGTAAACTTTAATATCGGAAAAACTAGCGAAATATCGAAATAAAACACTTATTTTGACTAGCCTTCGTGGCTATATGAATGTTTATTTTACTAGCTCGTTGAGCGATAAGTATTGCCTTAAAATATATGTATGATGCTTAGAATTTAGTTGATTTAAGTTTCACGAATGACAAAATGCGCATGCAGGTGCGCGTTAATAAATTGGTGCCTTTTCCACGCTCAACTGAAATTTTGAATTCATTTTCTTCGGTTGAACGCAGAGTCGTATTTTCGAGTTATGTATGTATCTATGCTTCGAACTCATTTTCGAATATTTAAGGTCTAATTAACAGTATTAATTTTATTTATTTTCTTCAGATCCTGAATTATAAAAGTTTTGAGAAATTCAAACAAACTTTAAAATTTAGATTAAAATAAATAAAAGATCATAGACAATAAAACTATAAATGTTGTGTGTCTGCATTGCACTTAGAACTAAACAATATTATATATATATATATTTAAGAAAACTCATTTACAATCAGCTCTCTATATTTAAGGCAATTACTTATATAAATATGCAGTGAACGATAATTACCATCATTAAGAATATTTAAACTCTTGGCAGGTCCAAGACTTTCTCACCAAAACAATTAAAACGAATATTTTTGTATATAGGACATTCCCCAATGAAATGATAGGTGTCTTCAACAGCTTTCAAATGGCAAATAGAGCAGGTCTTAGTAGAAATATTTTTAAAAGATCTTGCATTAAGATTAAGTGAGCCACCTCTTGCGCGAAAAATAACACTTGTAGCATACGCAGTATAGTTACGGTGACCATCCGTTCTGTTTTTTGCAGGACCGTACTGTTATTTAAAGGTCTGTCCTGCGTAGTTTTTCAAATCAGAAAACCCCCAAAATGTACTAATTTTTTCCAAGTGTCCTGCCTTTGTCCCGCATTTTCTTCGATATTTTAAAATTAACTTTTCCTAATCGAAATGAAAGCAGTGTCGATAACTAATTGATAACTAAATAAGGGTAAGCTGGTATTGAAGGTTCAACCAGTCAATGCGTTCTAAATTTTGTACGGTTATGGACAATGGATGACGAGAAAATGAAGACCAGCATTAAATATATCAATAACACTGTTCTACAAATCTTGTGGTAATCGCTTAAGAAAAAAATATTTTCCAAGCCAATTTTCTTGTTTTTGGTACAAAAAATTAAAATGCTAAAAGTTATCCAATCAACATAAGCGACCTACAGTCCAATCAACATAAGCGACCTACAGACCTACAATCTATTACTTTGCCGATTTTGATGAAAATTAGCCGAAAAGCTCCTTAAACTACCCTATAGAAAATTATTAGTGTTACAAGCGACCAAAATCGAAAAAAGTGAAATTTCAATCATTTTATTTTTACAGTAAATGAAAATCTGATGAGAAATGTAGATGTTACGGAACAAAATCTGCACAAATTATATACTTTTGCAAAGGGCCCATCAATACCTTTCGAGCTGTAGGTCGTTTCATGAGATATGATGACGAATAACTGGAAAAAGTACCAAAAATTCTCGAAAACACTTCTTTGAAACCCTGAGTATTTTTTTCGTGTTCAACGACCCAAAAGTTTGCCTAAAAAATTTGCTTTACAGAGGTTCTTATTTCGTGTTAAGTAATATGTAATATGCCTTATTATAATTTTGTAAATATTCATTAGTGCTCATTTACACACGGCGATTTTTGTTGCCGCAACTCGACGTTTGTAGGAGAGAGCGCGACGAGGAAAGGAGAGGGGCACCGAGTTGCTCGTGCTCGGGCAACACGCTTTGTGCACTCGTTCGTCTGTGTAAATTGAACCGCTGTTCACAGCTGACAACAACAATTGCATACACACAAATCGCCGTGTGTAAATGAAACCAGCAACACCAAAAGGGAATGTGAAAAATCGAGGCGACAAAAGTTTTCGTGTATAAACGCAGTCTTACAAAAAGATTAATACCAATGAAGCAAATGTGATTTATGTTTAAAGTTTAAAATTGGATTAATAATTAAGAAATATACACTCCTTGTTATATGAATAGCGCACCCTTTTAATACTTTC